TACTTAAATAAAAAGTCTAACAGTGTCGAAATACATAGTATCAGATGGCTAGAGAGCGACTCAATTTGGTCTTGCCCTGCTTTTAGTTCTAGGGAAGGAGCAAGCTAATAAGCTGGTAAGATGATTGTCATTGTCAGAAGTAACCAATGTATCATCTAATGTGTTCCCGAGCTAGAGTTGGCCTCCATTCTTCTTCTTCCTCCCGGAATAGACCTGTCAGTCCTCTTCTAAAGAATTAGTCTAATGGGGTGGTAGAGCTGAAGCAGAAGAAATATCGATCGTAGTACCCACATTAGGTTCTAGTATATGTGAAGTATGAGTTGTTTCTACACCGGATATTTCCTGAAGAAGTGGAGCTGCGAGGCTCTTCTGATTATCAGTCTGAACACTATCATTTGTAGGTAATCATTTAACACTATCATTTGTAGGTAATAGTCCATCAGTATTGAACACTATTTTAATTTAACAAATCCTAATCTGAACACTATTAGGGTTTGAAGGTGCCAACATCACATCACTCGCAACAACAATAACAACAGTGTCATGGGGGGTCCTCAGGGGCAACAAACACCTCCTATTTGGTAGTATCCTCCCCAGATGGAACTAAAATGTCCAGAGAAGTGGGGCTAGACTCATCCTTATTCACTTGAACCTTACTTTTCAAATTAGGATAGAGCTTGTGACATTTATCAAGGATGTGACCAAAAATCTTATAGTGGGTACAATACGGGGGTCTGTGTTCCATGAGGATTTGCTGTCAATATCCATTGCGAGTTGTGCCCAGCCAGACTTCAATAACATCCGGTAAAGTAATATCCCTTTCCACAAGTATTTTGGCCACCGAGGGTCTGGTTAGGTTGAAAGTAGACAGATCTAGCTTCAAAAGATCCCCTAGAATGACCCCAATAGAGTAAAGAACCTGATGGTTAAAAAAATGCAGCTTGAGACCAGGTAAACTGAACCATACCGGTACAGTGAGAGTTTCATGATTTGGGTCGAAATCAGAAGACCACTTGAGTAACCATAGATTTTCCTGCAATATTAAAATTTTTCTTGGAGAAAATTCTGGTGTAGTCTTCAGTCATTGTTAGTTGGATCAACATATGTCTCTCATTCATAAGTCCCACTTTTCACTTGCCTGCTGACTTAAGATCATCTACACTCTACTTTTTCTGATAACATCCATAGGTGGGTGTTCCCACTGAAAATTTTCAATAAGAGTAAACTTGAATTTTTTTGTCATGGTAGAAATTTCTGAGTCAGAGAAAAAATTATTGTTTTTCCGCCTTTCCCACTTCCCTTCTTAACAAAAGGACATATATATATATATATATATATTAATAAAAATAAAATATCTAGAGACTTGCATCAAATTAAATTTCTTGTAAATGAAGATAAGAGAACCTTGACACCAATGAAAGAACAAAATTCACTTTTGAGAATTTGTTAAATTAAAATATTTGTGAAAGAAATTACTATTGAAGAGGATGAAAACAATAAAATAAAGTTTACAATAAACTAATACAAAATAATGAAATTGAGTTTATTCTAAAAAAATATGCATAAATGTGAGTTTTTAGTTTCAAATTAGACGACTAATAAGATTTGGGGACTTAATTAAAAAATTTTAATAACTTAGTTAACAAATCCTTACAATAAAATTTTGAAGACCAGCAGATTAAAGAAGCACCTTAGTACCCAATATTTAAGAACAAAGTAGATGTTCAAGATTGTGCTAGTCTTCAACATAGTTTTAAAGAATATGAATCATACAATAAAGTTGTAGGATCAAGAGAAGCAACATTGTTTTAAAAAAACTATGCTAAATTCAGATGTACCATTTAATTTCCTATAAGAAGCTCTAGTACCAAAAAAGGATCTTTATATGATTTTTATTGCCCATGAGAGAGTACAAAATCAATTACAATAAGAATTGATTAAGCGCACATGAAATTAAAAAGGGTTGCAAAAGTGCTGATTTTATTTTATTATTTATATATATATATATATATATATATATATATATATATATATATATTGATTAATAATAATGCTAATTTAATTTTAATTTAAAAGTATTTTTAAAATATTCAACATCTAATTATAATTAAAAACAAAAAGTTTTAAATTCAACCATTTTTTTAAATTATTTTACATAAACATATATTTAAACATGTGTATTGATTCACCTCACAAAATTTTGTTGTTCATGATGTCAATTTGTGTTACCCGCATGCATACAACAACAACAACAAGTCTTTATCCCACTAAGTGTGGTCAACTATATGAATCATTTTTCTCCATTACGTCCTATTGAGTGTCCTATTTTCATTTAATTCTAATAAATTGAGATATTTTTTTTATACAATATGCCCCTGTCTTTCTAAGTCTACCTCTGTCATTCCTAACTTAAGTCGAATAAAAAACATCTACTCTCCTAATCGGATCATCAGATAATTTACGTTTACTGTGACCAAACCATCCAAGACGACTCCCTCTAATTTTGTTTGTCACCGGAGCTACACCATCCCTATCGCATTTTGTCTATAAGTGAAAAGCCACTTATCCACCTAATCATTCTCATCTCGGCAACAATTAACTTAGTTTTATGCTTCTCTTTTATTCTCTTTTATTCAGTGCCAAAAAGTATTGCAAGTCTCACCACCATCTTATAAAATTTTCCTTTAAGTTTAAGCGGTACTTTTTTATCACACAATAGGCCCGAAGCATTCCTCTACTTCAACCAACCAACTTGAATTCTACTAATAACATCTCCATCTATATGACCATCACTTTAAACAATAGACCCGAGATATCTAAAGCGTTCACAATTTTTAATAATTTGATCACCCATAGTTGCAATTCTATCACTAGAGCTATTATTAATAAAATTACATTCCATGTATTTAGTTTTAGTTCTACTCAAATAAAGGCCTTTAGACTCCCTTTAGACTAGGCCTTTAAACTCCAATGTAGACCTTCATAATCAAGTTTTTTCAGGGCTTTCTCTCTCCTCTTATCCACGAGAAGGATATCATTATCAAAAAGCATACACCAAGGTACATCTTCCTGTAAATGTCCAGTAAGAGCATCCGTAACTAAAGCAAAAAGATATGGGCTTAAGCTTAAAGCCGATCATATCTAAAACCGAACTCTGATGTAATCCAGCTGAAATGGGAAAATACTCGGTCAATCCTCCTTCTGTTCAAACACAAGTAATAACTCTAGTACACATATTTTTAATGACTTGAATATAAGTCATATCAACACCTTTCTTCTCAAGAACTCTCCAAAGGATATCTCTTAGAACCTTATCGTAAGCTTTTTCTAAATGAATAAAAATCATATGTAGATCCACTTTATTATCTCTGAACTTCTCCATCAAACCTCTCAATAAATATATAGCTTCCATAGTAAACCTGCCAGACATAAATCCAAATTGATTAAGAAAATATTTGTAATGTGTTTTAACCTATGTTCAATTGTCATCTCCCATAATTTTAAAGTATGCACAACAACTTAATTCCTCTATAACTTGCACACTCTTGTGCATCCCCTTTATTCTTAAAAATGGGGACCAAAAACTCTTCTTCTACTACTCAGGCATCTTTTTAGTTTTAAAAATAATATTAAAGAGTTTAGTAAGCGAAGAAACTCTGAATCTCCTATATATTTTCACTTCAATTGGGATATCATCAGGTCCTACAGACTTTCCACTCTTGGCTTTTTTTCAAGCATCATCAACTTTTTTTTACTAATGCAACGGCAAAATGAAATATTTTATTATTGTTAACGATATTAAGATCACTAAGGTCGATTGTATTTTCAGAAAATTCATTAAAAAGTTTATCAAAATAACTCACCCACCTATGTTGAATATCTTTTTCTAAGAAAAACACTTTTTGATTTTCATCTTTAATATATTTTACTTGAGCTAGATCTTTACTTTTCTTTTCTCTTTGTTTGTCTAGTTAATATATATGTTTTTCACCCTTCTTAGTCTATTATAAAGATCACTAAAAACAGAATTTTTATTGTCATAGGTTGTTCACTTAGACTCCCTACGGCCATTTTATATTTTTCTCAATTCTCCAAACTTTAACATTTAAACCAATCTTTATAATATAACTTCTTATATTTTATCTTTTCTTGCACATTATTATTCCACCACCAACTATTTTTATTTACAGAAACTTTTTTTTTATCATAAAAGATTATCTATGTTCCTTGTACATTGAATTCCTTGGGCATCTTGACGATCTGGACGCTCTGATATATTTCTTTTCTTGAAGGGGCAATATTTTAGTAATTTTGATTGTGATAAAGTTCGACGTCACATCCGTCATCTATTGTCTACCACCTCTTTTGTGTTTAATTGAGTTAATTTATGAAAATTATATGAAGGTCTACTGACAACAAGGGCAGAACCAACCATTTTTTTAGAGCTGAGAAATATTTCAAGTATTAAATAATATTTAATGTTATTATTACTATTATTATTATTATTATGAATATACGTGTGTGTTCGTGCGCGCGTCCTTACATACGCACGCGAAGACAGAAACACACACATACAAATATTATTATTTCTAGAAAAAAAAACTAATTAGATAATGTTATTAAATTTAAAAAGAAAATATAAGTAGAAAAGATTACAAAATTTAGGAAAATATAAATAGACTAGTGGTTAAGTTGGCTTTTTTTTATGAGGATTGGGCAAAATCATTTATTGAAGGGGGCCAACTCCTAGAAATTTACTACAACATGGGCCTGTCCATGTCTAAAAAGCAGAAAATTCATTACTAAAAGTAGAAGCAACTATTTCAAAAACATTCTAAATTTGCATGTTCAACGAACTCACGTATTGACCACCTAAATAACAAAAATTCGAAACTATACATGTCAAACAAACAAAACATGGTTTATAGCGAGCAAAACTAGTTAGCAAGCAAACAAATCTAGCATAATATAACATGGTTTGAGAAGATTCTAGAGCTTACCTTTGCAGAAAATGTAAATTGTAGCGAACAAAAGTAAGATCCTTCATTCTCTCAATCTCCAATCTGTTCCTGTGTCTACTTTCTACGTACTCATTCATGAACAAAATTTTCTGAGAAGTCTCTATAGTGCAAGTCTGGCTCAAAATCCTGATAGCAAAGCGCCGAAGATCTGGGCAGTCAGCAGCATAAAGAGACCACCAGGTGGCTGGATTCCGAGTTTCAGACACCATTATAGTCTTCGTATAAAAAACAAAGCAAGATTTACATTCATACCACTTAATTCCTATGTATTTACATACCTAATAACAAAACTTTATACACACACACACATATATATATATATAGACAGATAGATAGATATATATGTCTATTTTAGTTTTTAAAGTTAAAATGATATTGTGATAAGAAAGATTTGGATGATGCAAATATAAAAAGGTAAAATTTAGATGTTTGATACATAAATACATAGGAATTGGGTGACATGTATCAAGGGGTGTGAAAAATTGACTTAACACGAACTCAACCAAAATTTAACTAAAACATTTGGCTTTGGGTTAACTCGAATAATTTTTGGGTTTGGTTTCAGGTTAGGAATCCTAACCCATTTATTTTTTTGGGTGATTTCGGATTGACCCACAAACCCAAAATTGACCCGTTAACCCAAAATTAACTTGAAATCGATCCGCTAACCCAAAATCAACTCGAGATTGAGTCGAAGTTGACTCAAATTTGACCTGAAATTGATCTAAATAGCTATAATGCCTTATGTAAACGGGTTATATGTGTTGGATTCTAGTTGTGTCCTTCAACTTAAGCAATTTCAGGCCGGGGCAATTTTGGGTCAAACTCAAACCCGACCAGCGAACCCGGCTTGATAATGTATATAAATGCCCCAAATTCAAAACATGATTATTCAGAACACAAATCAACTCACCTGGAGACAGTGTCTCTCTCCCTCTTACTGCCACAGGTCTACTGAAATCCCCAACTGCATCCTCATAAAAACACTTCTGCCTTGTAATGTTATCTTGAGACAACATGTTAGTCTCCAAAGTCTCAATACAATCAAGTAAACCCTTCTGAATAACAGTGGTGATGAGAAATTCTGAACTATAGTAAACAGAAGGGTTAAGATAATGAGCAGCAGCATGGAGAGGGCTGTGAAGCTCTTCACGAATACGATCAATAACTTCAATGAATGGACGATAATCAGATTCGTTTTCAAATTCGGAAACAATTCCCTTCCTCACCTTTTCAACCGAGTCATAGAAATATCCGATGTTGGGTCTTTCTTTGCTCTCTATTCGGTGCAGAGCTGAGAGCAGTGGTCTTATAACTTTGAGGATCCTCGCACAGGATGACCAAAACAGTAAATCTGATAAAATATCTATCACTTCTGAACCCAACTTTTGTTCAGATAAAACTGATGAAATGCTTATAAACACCTGTTGAAGAGAGTCTTTGAGAGCCACCATGGTTTGTAAAGTAGAGAACTTGGTTACAAACTCAGTGGCAGCAGGCTGAAACAGTTCTTTTCCTTCAGTTTTCTTTCTAAATGAGTTGAGGATCCAAGCATTGTTGTATAAAAGCTGACAGATCTTCTTCACCTTAGCCAATAAGTCTTTTATCTCATCCATCTCTGCCATGGCTTTCAGCATCAGCTCAAAGCAGTGTTTGGCGCAAACAAAAGAGAAAAATGTCTGGTACTTCTTCATTAAAATTCGAGCTGCAGCTCTATGAGTAGGGGTGGAATCAGTAAGAAAAGCTACAACATCTCTCGAGCCTACCTCCTTGACGATGCAATCGAACAAATTCGAAAGATCTTCGGGTGAGTTTTCGTACTCTGATTCATCCACCGATTTAAGGAAAATCGTACCTTTTGGAGAATAAGCGTAGAAATTGATCTTTGCATGACCAACTTTGTCAATCCAACGATCTGCCATGATTGTGCATCCGGTCACCTCCCATGACTTTTGAACCTCCTTGCATAAGTCAGAAGCTTCGTTCAAACATTTGTTGAGTAAATTACCTCGCAAAGAATGATGGGAGGGAATTTTATATCCAGGACCAATTGCAGTTATTGCATCAATCATTTTTTGGAAGTAAAATGAATCGACTGAGTTAAAAGTTACACCGGTGATATAAAAGAACTTCGCAACAGCCATATCTGCTCTTTCTATGATTTCTTGAGGGGTAAATTTTGGACTAATTTTCGTCTGAAGTGGCGGTCGAACCGAGCCAACGACTGTGTTTTGAGCTCTTCTTTTACGAGAATTTGTTCTTCTGGAGACTATCTTATGGGGAATACCTTCATTTCCTTCTTCTCGGGCTTTCTGAAGAGAAACTTTCAGATCCTCAGTTATTTTCTGCCTTTTGAGTTTCTCTAGAACTTTAAAACCAAGATGTTGTCGTATATTCGTCTTGACATAATCTGGAACTTTCTCGCACGGAGCAATATTACCTCTTTCGCCAGCTAAATGTTGTTTCAGGCGAGAAATTCCGCCTCCCAAAATTATTTTCTGACAGTATCTGCACATTATTTTCTGGCGATCTCCGTTCACCATTGTGCCATGATCCCATCCTACATCAGTAGCTCTATGAGGGGCAGAACCCTATTAAAGATAAAAATTTACATTCATAGAAAAATGAAATGAAAGAATACTTCAATTCACATAAAAGTTCAAGTGGGAAGATTTACAAACTAACCACTCAATTCCTATGTATTTACATATCTAACACCTAAATTTCAATTTTTACATGCATAAAAAGGTGTATATCACTTTTTAAATGTTAAAATTGTACTAATTTTTATGTGATATGAAATATTTGGATGGTGTAAAAATGTAAGAAGTAAAGTTTAGGTGTTAGATATGTAAATACATACTAATTATGTGGTATGAAAGTAAATGCCCCTTATGAATAACAACAAGTGAGAAACACAGTATTTCAGTCTGCTACATACGTTCTCATTAAAAGCAGGATTGGAAAAGGCATCAAAATCTTCTGCTGTCCCGTTCAATTGCTGACTGCCCAGCTCTGAAGCAAGGAACCAAAATACAAATATTATAAATTGGAAGATCTAAAGAAGACAAAATAAGATCCAAACCACCACCAATCCACAAAAAGACACAATTATAAAAAGTATGCATACATAAATATGTATTTATGCATGTAGGTATATGTAAGATGCACATAAACACACAATAAATATATATTTAGGAATCTCATCTACTGATCACACTGAACTAAATCTGAATGTCAAGAAATACCATCAAAGAATGTATATGATTCAATGGATGTATCGAGATAAGATAGAAAATGTGGAAAAGAAACAGAGAAAAACTTAATTAAAAATAAAACAAGCTTATTGCTAGAAAGAAAATAAGAATTCTAAAAATATACACACATATCACAGTTTAATGGTTGCCATATAACCATAAAATCAAACAAAAATCCTGAAAATTAAATGAAGGGGGCATTAAAATATGTAGCACACAATTCTTATGAATTTATATATCTCTCACCTAAACTTTCATATTTACATGCATAGCACTCAAATTTTTAATATCACAAAAAAAACAACACAATTACCGATTGTTTAAGTGAAATACACATTTTCATGCATAGGTTTAAAATACCAAAGTGCTATCATGTAAATATGAAAGTTTAGGTGAGAGTTATGTACATACATGAGAATTGGTGCTAGGTATGTCAATTTCTGAATTGAGTGCTAAGTATGTAATTATTGTCAATGCTAGAATAAGATAATTGTACCTTGCGAGCCCATATCATCAATGCTTAGCAAATCATGCCTTACATTCATGGAAGTACTACTTGAATTTGGATCAATGGCATGATCTCCAGAAGAAGGCGCAACAGAACATCCCACAATTGCTCTTTTTCTCTTCTTCTCTATTCCCTTCTTTGGCTTTAGAATAACTAATTGCTTTCTCATCATATCTCTAACATCCCGGGGGACAAAATCACAGCCCTTAATCTCCCCCTTTTTGCTTGCCAAGTGCTTCTTGAACCGAGTAATTCCTCCAATCATAATCCTATGACAATAATTACACTGTACGTGGTGACGTTTCTCCCCAATCATTGTGCCGTGTTGCCACCCTATATCTGGATGACGCGGCATTCTGCTTAAGTTTGGAGCACAACTCTTTTAGTGAACAGAATCAAATAAATGCATTAGCCAAAAAAGTATAATGCAATGCGTGGAACATACTATTTTGCTAGTCCTCATGGAATTTGATGGTATACACCATGCACATCTAGGATATAAAATATAAACTTCTACCAGTTGATTTTTGTACCTTATATTTTACTTTGTGAAATTTATTCTATTAATCTCATCTTGAAGATTACATTGTAACAATAAACTCCAATTTGTATACACCATGCACTATCATTACTCGTTTAGTTCACACCCATAATAAGTTTATTGTTTTACTCAATGGTTACTAAAGTTCACGTTGCGTAAACGTGCTCTCACCACCACCAATAAAACCTAAATCAAGCTTCTAGTATAATTTTTTCCTTTAATTTTTGCATATAATATGCCTCCAATATCACAATTTTCAAACATATACTTCCCTTTTGATCATTTGTATTTTGAAAAACATGAAAAATACATGCCCAACATTTCTTTTTTTGGTATATTCATTTCTCACAAAAGGCATCTTTCTAGAAGCTTCATGGTCTCAGCATTCATACTACAATTTTGATTTTTCAAAAAAATGGACACTAAAAACTTCATGACCATTTAAAGCACACATATCACATATTCCCCGCATGCATGAACATAGGAGAAATCTTAAACCAAGAATAATATGGATAATTTCTTCAGTGTTACTTATAAGTAAATGCTATTAATAAATTTTTATTATTTGCTAAGCTAGTTGCTTGATTTATGTTCCACGTGTTTAAAGGCATGTAGACAGCCTAAGTTGTGATTTTATATGCTTATAAGATTGTAGTGACATATCCAAATGTGGACCTAAATGTCAGTATTTTAGAACATTAAATTCATTTATGGACAAACCAAACAATCAGTATATTTAAAAATGATAACATTGCATTACAGTAATTAAAAACTAAACAACCTCTTCATGATCACATAAACACACTTACAGTTCCCCTCAGTTCCAATTAACAACTACCAGTGCAAGCCTCTATTACATAACAAACAAATGAAAAAATTGCCTAGACCAAGTTATTCCAACTTCAAGAGAAAAAAAGGTGAGAAAATCAATCATGTTCGCCTTGATAACTAACTTATATTTTACTTAGTTTTTATAAGCTTGTTTATTTAACAACTTAAAAATAACCAAGGCTTTGTTCGATCGTGTTCGGATCAACAAAAAACTAATTATGTTTTTATATACATTAAAAAATATGCATTTTTATACATAGTGCATGTGTTTATATGTCTTTATGTGTGTGTGATTGTGTTTGTGTGTGTGTGCCGCGTATTCATATCAGTTGGTCGGGCATCTACTTATCAGTTGTAAGTCCCCTCTGGTCTGGGGTTCGATTCCCCCCGAGTGTAGGGTGTGGTACTCGAATTATAGGTGCATGAGAGATGGTTGGGGCTCGTATCATAACCTTCAGCCATTCCTTTATTTATTTTTTTAAAAAAATGTACACACACACGCAACAACAACAACAACAACAATACACACACACAAAATAATTTATATGTGTGCGTGTGTCGTGGCCTGTTGGTAGAACAGCCACAACAACAACAACAACAACAATACACACACACACACACACAAAATAATTTATATGTGTGCGCGTGTCGTGGCCTGTTGGTAGAACAGCCTCTCTGAAGATCGTAAGTCTGCTCAGGTCACGGGTTTGAATCCCCCCCGTGTGTAGGGTGTGGTACTCGAATATTTAGCACACCCAGGGATGTCGGGGCTCGTCTAATAGCCTACGACCTTTAAATATATATATATATATATATA